CTGCTAAAATTTTTTCTTATTTTTTTTCTCAGCGTAGTTTTTATGATATTTCCATGGAGTTAAATGTGGCATCTGCTTAATCATTTTACCTATTGCAATATAGACTATTATACTGAATAAATACAAAACAATTTATCCATTCTCTTTATGAATATTTGCATGGGTTTTTTTCACTGTTTAGTATTATAAACAGTAATGCAGAGAACATTCTTGTGGCTTTCCCTTAGACTGCTTTCTTAAGTACCATTTGAAAGGAAAGAAAATATTCCCATGCAGATGTATACAGAGACTAATTTTACTGTCTAAATTCAGTGTCAAAATAATGCAGGAGTGAGTAGCAGAAGTAAAATCTATTGTGTATATTTGTATTTGAGAAGACATAGTATAAGACTAAAATCAATATAAGTTCTATATATATTATGATTTTAGTTGATATTATTAGAATCTATTATTACATCTTGAAACTTTACCTGTGAGTAAACTGATCATTACTAGTGAATTATTAATGATACTCCTTTCCAGAACCAGACTTGAATTTCTGCCTCTTAGAATTTTTTTTTTTGTACCAGAGATTGGATCCAGGGGTGTTTATTTATGGAACCACATACCCAGTCCTTTATATGTTTTATTTTGAGACAGAGTCTTTCTTTGGCCCTTGCTAAGTTACTGCAGCTGGCTTTGAATTTGGGCTCTTCCTGCCTCAGCCTCTCAAGCTGCTAGTATTACTGGCATATGCTGTCATGCCCAGCTGCCTCTCAGGGTTTTTATCAGTTTGAAAGTGTTGGCCCCAGTCCAAGTATTGGGTTGACAGGGATGTGCTTTTCATTATAGAAAAAAAAATCGAGAGCTAGGCATGTGGCTTGATGGTAGAGCACTAGCCTAGCAAATGCAAGACTCTAGATTTGCATACGCTACCCTCAAAAGCACCATACACACACACACACACACACACACACACACACACACACAAAGAACAAGAAAACCATCTAAGACACTATGGGATAGAATTGGACAAAAGAATGATTTATGTATAGGAATTATATAGTCTCTTTTTAAATGGCTTTATTAAAAAAGACCCTCATCATTATAATACATGTATGAAGATGTGAATTTGGTGTCAATATACCTTATATACAAACCAGAGATATGATAAATTGTGGTATAAAGGTGTATTAAGAATTGTAATGCAAAAAAAAAAAAAATAAGGAGCTCATATATAATGGCATAATTTGGCGTGAACATACTTTATATACAGTTACGAAAAATTGTGCTGTGAATGGATAATTATGATCGTAATGCATTCCACTATTGTCATGTATGTAAGAAATAAAAAAAAAATCCATGTGAACAATGAAACTAAATGGTTTTTATGAAGAAACTTCCCTATTATCTTAATACTAGATCTGTTTTTAGCACCTCTAATCGTGAAAACACCAGTTGAGATTTGGAAGAAAATTACTGGCATCAGAGCGGGTAGATTAGGCTTGACTCTTCCTTTGACTATGAACTTTGTGGGGAAAAAAAAGTCACTTAACTATACAGTATTAGTTTCACTTTACTATAACAAAACATCTGAACAAATTCACTTATAAAGGTCATTTTTTTGTCTATTTGTGTTTTGCATGATGACTGGGCCCCATTGCTTTGGGCCTGTGAGAAGGTGGTGCTTTCCCAGCAAGAGTGCATGGTGGTAAAAAGCACTGACATCATTCCAGGAAGAGAAAGAGGTCAGGGTCCCACCAGCCCTTTGAGGGCATGCCCCCAGTGACCTAAGGACCTCCCATACTGTTGGGCTGAAAATGGAATGGGAGCAACTAAACTAATCACCATAATCAAACTGTTTAATATATCTTTCCAAATACATATCCTTTTTATTTTATGTATAAATATTTATGATCTACCCTCTTAAAAATTTCAAGAATACAATAAAGTATTATTAATTATAATCAAGTTGTTATACATGAGAATACCAGAACTTATTCATCTTGCATTAAATTAGATGTCTTATTTTGTATTTAAAAAAAAAAAAAAGACACTTGAAAGCCATTTATGGGAGCTGACTTCAGAAAACATCTTAGGGGCCTCCCAGATATGGTTAAGTCACTATTTAAAACTTATCGGTTGCTCCCATTTTCTAGTTTGAATCTCAGATTCCCCAGCATAGCAGAACAGGCTCTTTGTGAATCCTGTCCCAGGACAACCATTCCAAGGATATTGTGAACTGCAGTACTGTAGGTACTGGGAACAGTACCTACAATTCTGACTCATGTCTCCGTACATTTGCTGATATTTTCCCCTTGGCCTCAAATGCTCCCAGAGCCCAAAAGCATTACCTTTGCTAGAAGCCCTTTGATACCCAAGTACTCAAGAAATTACCTGGCCTTTGCCTTGGACCACATATCCTTACTGGTTTGTGCCATACCCATGGTACATTTCCCTGCACTCAGTATTTTCTGAAATATCTGTCCTATCTTGTTAGATGGAGGAAATTTGGACACTACCTCCAACAACCTGAAGATGATTCCTGCTAATATGTAGACCAAAGTCTCTCTGCTATATTACCCACACAGCACCTGCACACTTGCACACACATGCAATGTGACCTGAATAAATTCATTCAGTAATCTGACCAGTTTCTCCTTTCAACCATGTCAAGGACACTTTCTATGCCAGTGATATACCTGTACACAATTTTTAATTGCTGCTAATAATTTTAATTTATGGATCACCCTAGGTTTGTTTTGGTTGCTGTTTATCAACAGTTAAAAAAAATTATGGTGGGTCTGACATCTTATTCCTCACATGCCATGAGTATAAATTTAAAAGCACTGCTGTTGTCCTTACCTTTGATTAGCTGAAGAATCCTGGTGTTATGGCTTAGATAGGAGGTGTCCCCAAAAACTCATGTGTGAGACAATGCAAGTAAGTGTAGAGGTGAAATGATCAGATTATGAGATGCTTAATCTAATCAGTGTGCTGATCTTCTGAAGGAGATTAACTGGGTGGTAACTGTAGGCGAGTAGAGTATGCCTAGAGGAGATGGGTCCATGAAGGTGTGCCTTTAGAGTTTATATTTTGTCATTGGTGAGGAGAGCTCTCTCTCTCTCTCTCTCTCTCTCTCTCTCTCTCTCTCTCTCTCTCTCTCTCTCTCTTTCTCTCTCTCTCTCCTCTTTTTCCTGGTGGCCAATGTCCTGAGCCACCTTCTTCTACCATATTCTTCCACCATGATGTTCTGCCATACCTTGACCCCAGAGCAATAAAGCTGACTATCTATGGATGGAGCTCTCTGAAACTGTGAGCACCACATAAACCTTTCCCCTTCTAAAATTGTTCTGTCAAGTCTTTTGGTCCCCAGAGTGAAAAACCTGACTAAAACACATGGCCTGCTTTTATAACTCTCTTCAAAACTTTCCTTCATTTTCCTTTGGGTTGTATCTTGTTAAAATTCCTGTATATCAGAAAGTCTTCTGCCTAGTGATGCAATATTTTTAGTTAAACCCTCTCTCTCTCTCATGAGAATCATCTGTAGTTACATAGTCAGGATTTGATTTTTTAGGAACTAATACAGTAGAATTATGTATGTATTATATTTGAATATTTTAAATCTCACCTCCCTAATACAGGCTAAATTATCTGAATTTCACCCTTATTTTGTGGACATGAAATCCAAGATCATAAATGGTAATTTTTAATGTGCATTTCTACTTTACCAACCATTTCTAATCTTGTTAGGTAGATATTGCTAGACTAGCTCATTGGGATACATCTTCTGTTCTCTGGAGTTAATGCAAGAACTGTTCAACTATGTTGTTTTGCTAATGAAACACCTGGTTTTGAAAAGTACAAAGTCTCAACATTATTAAAGCAAATTTGTGTTTTTTATATGAATCAGGATTATATAATCTATTTGTCTGATATAACTAGGTAAATTAGTTAGAATCCATAGTTCTTGCTTATCTTCCCTTTTTGTAGCCCCAGTCAGAGTCTTTGAGAATTCTTGGTACTTCATTTCATGCATTCACTAGTACATCTTCATACCATGCAGTATTAACCCAACACTCTTTTAGAAAACTTTGTTTCCATCACTATATTCTAACCTTGAATTCAATGTCATCAAATCTCAAGGAAAATTGTGTTGTAATTGCTCATTGCCTTAGGATTGAATGTAACATATGTGTCATTTATCACTAAACACTTTAATTGTCAGTAGAGATCTAAGCAACCAGTTACTTCCCACTCCCTGTGCAATTACCTCATATCATTACGTGTCACCTCCTGCTGTTCTTCTTTCCCTACCACACCTACAGTGGTGGTTTTCAACCTGGATGGATTTTCCCATCAAGGAAATTTGGCGATGTCGAGGTCAAATTTTTATTATCATAATGGAAAAGGTGCTTCTTACATTTGAAAGAGAGCTCAGGGATGCTGCTAAACATCTTACAATGGATAATATCCACCCACATCCAATAAAATTTTACCTGATTCAAAATGTCAGAATGCCAAAATGGAGGAGACTTGCTGTATGGGAATTGACTTAATGCTTTTTAAATTGAACTTTTAGATTTCTCTCACCCCAGAAATGTTCAATTTAATGCATTTTCTTGATTTGGACTAGCTACTCAGTGACAAAACAAAGTAACAAAACCCAGGAGATTATATCCCATGAAATTTCTCTTATTCCTTGGTTAAAGTGGGACAGTGACCATCATCTTCACCTTCAAAACATCTTCAAACCTGTTTTCCTTGTTGATAAAATACATTTTCTAACCAGTTGGCATTACCATAGTTACACAAAATAGGGAATGAAAACTAAAGCATACTTCCAAGTGAAGAATAAACCTGGAGGGATTAGTAAGCATGATTATCCTCAGATACTCTCAGCTCCAAAGGGCATTTATTGTTTGGAATGTTGCATCTGCAAATAGATTGAATAAACTCTGTGTGTAGCATAGTACTAACACTTTTGCATTTTTTTCTCTTTCCTTTTTTTTCCTCGTCAGACATTTCACATTTTCAAGAACAAACTGATTTAAAAGGATTACTAGAAAACCTTCACCAAAATATCCAAGCCAAAAAAAGGAAGAATGTTGAAATTGTGTGGCTGGCTGCAACGGTAAGCACTGTCATGTCAGGTCCTACTCCCTGACACATCAGAGCCAGCAGACATGAGGAGGCATATACTGTGCCGGGTCCAAACTCTGGACTTTTAGTTACCAGTTGTTATGTGTCCCTGTCCAGGGGATGAAGCATTGTCACTCCTGTTGCCAGTTCTTTCAATAGACTAGAAAATAAGTAGAAAGAAAGTGCATTCACCAAGAGAAAATCTTACTCATTAGCTATTATTATCAACCCGAGAGATTAAAATGAAGCACTTGTGATTTTGTTGGTGTTACAGGTTGCAATGTTGATTATCCATATCAACGAAGATTTTTGAACTGCAACTCTAGAGACATATGGTTTCAACAGAATGTGGTTATCAGATCTCTGACTCACAGCTTTAGTAGGGCTCCTGGACATATTGCTCAGTTAATGAGCTTGTAAATGTGTTTGTTAATTTAGATATTGGCATTGAATTTATTATCATTGATTGCTCTTGGGGTAGTGAACTATATTCTGTATGGTTCTTTTTCACTTAATGGTTCCCTTCGGGTAGAACAGCCTATTTTCTCACTTCAGATTCCTACAACAGTTAGAGAAGGGATTGCGTCCACTTTTAAAAAACTTTTCTCTGGCAATTTTGAGGCATAATTCATATGAGATTTATGAATTTTGTTAAAACTTGAAACCTAGAGTTCCTGTGTTTAGGAAATGATCCTTCTATCAAGCAAGATGCACTGGAGATGCCCACCGGGGCCGCCATGTGTGTAGATGCTGCAGTGTTGCTCTTATAACCTGGAGTCCAGCTTAACCGAGCTTCTGGCACACTCTATTCTCCATCATTAGCGTTTACAAAGTCTTTTCCTCACTTCAAGTGCTTCAACTATGATCCAATATAACTCACTCCCTTTTGGAAAAAAGGAGTAGATAATTTACCATGATATTATATAAAATAATTTACCAAGAGCAAGACAGAGGAAGCTGCTAGTTTGCTGCATGCCATCTTAAAGAGTCCCAGGCAAGACATTGAAGGTGACAGTATGAAATCCAGCTTTCAGGAAGCTCATTTAAACTGCTCCCTTAGCACCATGCTGCCTTATAGGAAGGCTGTCTGTAACAGCTTCCCCCATGTGGCTGCAGTTATCCAGACCACCATAGCTGTTAATTCTTCCAAAAATTTCACAATGGTAGGTCAAGAGTCATTGTTCCTATTTTACTAATAATGTGATAGCATTAAGGTACTCTCATCATTTGCCAAGGCCCTCTGGCTACTTAAGAACATAAATAAGACATTATACTTATATTGGGAAGTTATGTAAATAGATAAATTAAGGCTACACGTGTAAGTGTGAATGCATATTTTCTCTCAGTATATTCAGTTTTTGCATTTGAATATATAAAACATTTTCCTATAGATTCCACATGATTCTAAGGTTATTTTTCTTAAATGTAGATGCTAGTCAAATATGGCTTCTGTACAAAGTACAACTGAATGGCTGGTTAGTAGCATTTCTGTGGGTGGAAGCCCCAGTTCCAATATCTATTTGTAAATAAAACGAAGAAATATAGGAATATCTTCTGATATTTTTCAAAAAGCTTTTATTTCTCTCTTTCCTCTCTTCTTTAAATTTGTTTTATGAAACAGTCCTTGTATTACTGTTTTATATTCTAATTGAAAAATCTCAAACTATTCAATTTTGTCTTAATTTAAATAATAAAAATGAGAATTGAATGAAGTCAAATACTCATCAAGTGCACTAAATAAAACTTATATAGTTCAAGGGTTGTAGAAATCCAGAAATCCAGACTCCCCTTTTCTACTCTGATGAGCTTGCTGCTATTTCCACTTTACTCTGAATTTAGAACACTAAATATCCTAACTAGGATAGGTATATAAAGAATATTAGTTCTCTTTTTAAATCATATCTCAAAAGTAGCCACGAAGGTCTATTTTATTACTGTGAATGAATGTACTTAGCTTTTAAAAGTGTGAACTACCATTTATTTGAAAGAATTAAAATTTTCTAAGTGAAAAAAGATTATATGGTGAAATCAAGCTCCCATATATCTCAAGTCTCTTTTCTTAGAAATAGAAAGTAGTGAAGGTCTAAATTAATAGGATCTATAAATCCTAGTTTAAGTATCACAATGACAATTAAATGATGGTAAAAGCCCTCAGTATAAATGGTATTATTTTCTTCTCAAAGCAGGCAACTTTTAAGGACCCCCTGACAACAGAGAATGAAGTAGGCCTTTATTATATCACATTGAATTAAATTTAAAGGGACATTGATTAGCATTGTTGATGCTGTGGTTAATGATTGGTATCTCATATCTAAAGCCCATTATGGGAGAGAAGGAAAGGAATGGAGTAATTTACCTATTAATGGTAAGGTAATGTGCTGCTTAGAGATTCTTCTCTGTTAGAATAACAACAACATCAACAACAAAGAATTATAGAGGGGATCAGAATATAACAGAAGTTAAAGACCTGATCCTTGGATTCAGGTAAACTATATTTGCATCTCAGATCAGCTCTCTTGTGGCCAGATTATTTATTTGCCTAAATCTCATTTTCTTCATCTGAAGATAAGAACAATTATACCTTCATGTGAAGTTTATTAAAAAAGCAAGTCTGTGAAATGTCATAATGTTATACAGGTACACAGCAGATGTGCACCAAATGGAAGCCACTTTTGATATTCTTAATGTTTCTAATTGGTTCTATCATCTCAGGCCATGAAGCTTTTTCAAACATCATGGCATAAAACCAGTCTAGCAAAGGTTTCTTAAATGTGTGAAGACTCTGATCAACTGTCAGATCCATGGAGTAAAGTGTTCTCCATTTTCAATGAGGTTGTTGCAGCTGGGCTGGGATTATCTTCATGCAGTAGCAGATCAGGTTCAGTGATGGGTGCCATCACCTACTCTGTTGCATCTGTTACATCTCATTTGGTTTTAACAACTCTATACCTCACATGCAAAGAGCAAATAAGTTAAATCTGCTCCACTGGCTTTTGGAATGAAAAGCAATCATTTTGCCTTTCATAAGGCACACTGTACCCATTTCACTAATCAGTCTAAACCCAAAGTCACTGGTAGTTGGTGAGCCCAGGCTGGCAGTGTTTAGAGGGGTCAATGCTAAGATAATGCACACATGAACAATAAACTCTTTTCACATGTGCCACAGATTTGTCGCAAGCTAAATGGTATTCGTTTCACCTGCTGCAAGAGTGCCAAAGACAGGACGTCAATGTCAGTGACGCTGGAGCAGTGCTCCATCTTGAGGGATGAGCACCAGCTGCACAAGGACTTCTTCATCCGTGCTCTGGACTGCATGAGAAGGTATCCCCCATGTTTTAAGGTCTTTTTTTTAATTTTAAGGTCATTTTAAGCTTTTGTTTGTTTGTTTGTTGAGTTTTTTATTTTTAAAACATTTATCTCATTAGAGAACGATGTTAAGTAACTCCCCTATATTCCCATGATTTTTAGCTCATGGCATGAGACCATTTTAAGTATTCCTCTTACTCATTTCAAGCAATAAAAAGAAATGTGGCCATGCCTGCAGTCCAACATATGCATGGGGACTGTTTCATTAGTTCATTGGCTCAATATAAAGGGTTTTGAACATTTCATACATAACACTTTGAGGGGCCCATTTTCTTGATGTCTATGTGGCCATGAATATGCACAAAATAAAACTAACTCAATTTAAAAAATAAATAAATAAAACTTCCTGAATTGAGACTAGTAGGACATCTTCCCAATGCCTGCGAGGTCTCTGAGTCAGTACCCTTCTTAAAGATCTGGAGTGGTTTTCACATCACTCATCCTAAAGATGGAATGACACTGATGCTTTAAAACACAGAATTAATATTGTTAGTCAGCCGGCATTTAAAATGCTATGCCCCGAGTCATGTGTCTTGATTCATTTCCACAGTAATTAAATCTAAACTCTGAGCCATAATGTGAAGGCAAAAGTACCTCATTCACAGTGTCTATCATCGAGGACACAATGTTAATTTAAAAGTTAAGTGAAATCGTCCCTGCCACAAAGACCAGCTCAGAAGCTCTTTAGAAGACATGGGGCAGGCCCGTGCTCCCAGAGAGGAGTGTCCTGTGGCGCTGGACAGGCGGCTTCTTATCTGCATGCTCTTAGCTTCTCCCCTGCCCTCTGACTGCTGTGCCTTGCAGCAGGGACACAGATGCGTGCCTGTGCTCTTCTCTGCCTGTGTGTTTTCCCACTAATGAGAGAGTCCTCAAGTCCTCGAGTTTGCAGCATGGCATGTCTCCTGGCATTTTCATTGTTGTGTGGAGTTCCAGCATAACTTTCTGATAAATGTGTAATGATGTTTGAGAGGCCTGACATGAACATCTCAGCCATATAAAACATGCTAGAATTAAAAAAAACTCCTTCAAAAATAATCTCTCAGCACTAACAGGGAAAATTCTATATCCTAGTATTAAATCTTCAGTACAAGGGAAGAATACAAATGTTACTGTGGATGGAACAAAGGTACTTGGCAGGGAGATGAAGAGCAGGTGATTAGGTAGGCCGGGGACACCATGGCACCAAAGGGATTTGACTAACAAATTATTTGGAGGGAGAAATCATTATCTGCTGACTTAAGCTGTAGAGAAGAGAAGGAAAGGTCCTTACATTAGAAAGGAAGATAAAGGACATATCTAGCATGCACATAAAACTAAAAAAATTAAATATTTTGGTATTGTGTACTGCTATTTAGAATCAACTTTATTTATACAACACATTTGATCATGACATAACATTTTCGGAGGTATGTTTTTGAATTGTTAAGAAAAGGTAAGGTGCTAGAAATTTAATTTAAAATGACAAACACTCTTAAATTCCATATCCCCACTACTCTGGTAATATTATTTTTTTCTTTTTCTTCTTCTTCTTTTTTTTTTTGCTAAATTTCAAAGCTGACAAATTGACCTTTCAGTCTTGTATATTTAAGGGTTACCTAGAGTGTAAGAATCTGTGTGTGTGTGTGTATGTGTGTGTGTATTTCAAGAAAATAGAAGATGTTTGTTAATAACTGTCTACATTTCTCTCTTTGGGTATTCTCACTTAAAATACGTACTCATAGGTTAATAATCTCTGGCAACATAACAACCAGAGATTATTTAACCTATGAGGTAGGTTGTTGTCTGAGACTTGGAGCTAGCTTACCTGAGTTTGAATACAGGCTATTGGCCACTTACTAACCAGTGAATAACATATCACCACTTAGTGCCTTAGCAACTTAATTGGCTTCTTAGTATCTCAGTTTCCTCATCTGTAAAGTAATCTTGATAACATGAACTGCTCTCTGAAAAGTGATGAGAACAATGTTTGACCCAGTAAATTAATATTTATTAATAAAAATAAATATCAAAGTTCATAATGTTAACATTCTCATCCTCCAAGGACAATACAATCTAGATAATTAGGAACTTTGTAGTTTTATACTTGTGAATACATTATGATATAGGTTTAACTTCAATACCATATAATAGAGTGTTCTGGCAACACTTGTAAATAAGGTTTCAAATGCAATGTTTCTTTTACTTGTCTAAGAAAAACAGCTCTTTAAATAGCACTTTAAAATATGCTTGTGTTTGCAAATGCTGTGCAAATTATGGAAGGATTGCATTCATTAAGCCTGGGCAGGTTTTGTATAAATACTTTTTTATGTTAATGTGTGTTATTTTATGCTCTTACAAGTAATCATGGAATTTGAGCTCAAGGAGTTACCTTAGATGTTTTGTCTTATAAATGATGAAACTGAGTTCTAGAGTGTTTGGGCAGAGACTACTCAAGCCCAAAATATTTGAGCCAGCACTGGAACACAGGTCTCCTAGTTATAGATCAGGGTTACTTTCTTTGTACCAAATAAAATGAAATAGTATCACTTGAAATGATTTGATAATATATTTAACTACTGCAAACCTGTTGGTTAAAACAGAAGTCACATGTAAAACTTTTACTTATAAAAATTCAAGGCTGTGCAAAACCAAAGTGTTCTCCCCAAATCTTAAGACCTCGAAGAGCCAATTCTATAGCTCTAGGATAAAAACTCTATAATTTCAACCTTATCTATTATGTTCTCCATTATATATAGACACTGAGAACTGTATCTGGTCTAGAGCAAAATAAATATAAACAATAATTGAATGAATTAATAAATGTCTACATAGGAATTTACTCTGCTGCCCTCTGCTTTTCAGAACCATTTTATAGGAACTTTCTCATTTTTTAAAAAATTATCTTTTTGATTATGTCCTGAGAGTGTGATTCAGTTCTTACTTTGATATTGGAGCCATGTTTCCCAGGGCCACCCCTGTATCAGGGTAGCTTGGTGAATGATTGGTCACAAGCTGAATTCAAACAGCTCAGTGCAGTAATGCTCCTACCCTCTGCTGGTGTTTCTGCTGGTGAGTTGGAAGTACACCGGATGTTCCGGAGTTCTCAAGCCTGCCTTGCCTTTTATTTGTGCTGAGCCCTGTTAGGTCATCCTGGCCCACCAGGAATATGTGGAAGCTTATCCAGGCCCTATGTGGCTCTTTTCTTTCCACAGTTTCCATATTGACTTTCTGGCTGGTCAGACTGGTCTAAGGAGTGGCACCATTAGAGCTTTAGTCTCAGGGTAGCTGTGAGATTGGCTGTTGGCAGTTTGCCTTCAGGAGCACTAATTCTCTGATAATGCAGGTGGGTGTCCCCGCCACCCCCGCCGCGGCTCTCCACTTGAAACCCAGTTAGGTTCCAAGAACAGTGAAATAGCTGGTTTCCACCATTGTCTGATAGAACTCGGAAGTGACCTACTTCCTACAACTAGTTCTGGCCTCCCCACAGTACATCCCGTCATGAATAGGTTAATCCACAATGAAGTCAGAGCCTTCATGATCCAGTCACTTTCGAGAGCCCCATCTCTGAACACAGCAGATCTCGGGAGACATTGAAAATCTGAACTATAATGGTGGGCCTTCTTTAAACCGATTTTAATTTAGCCACCGATGTTAATTCCTTTATAACACTGGAAACCTGTCATTTCTGTCCTTTCCTTGAGTTTTAAAATGTAAGTGTATGGCCAAATGTTTTTCTTGATTAATTACAGCAAAACGTTACAAAGTGGTGGGAAAAAAAAATGGCAAGGCACTTTTTTTGATCATTTTATGGTTTTTTAATTTTATTTAAAGAATAGTTGAATTCAGTATCAACACTCAGTTTTTAGCTATGACATCTCCTTTGATTGCTAAGAGGCTTCTTTCTGCAATGCTTTTTCAAAACAAAATTTTAGTACCATCTTTGATACTTATATTTGATAAATAGAAAATAAGAATTGGACTTATAAAAATACAACAAGTGTGGCTGGATTAAAAATCATCATGCCTTAGCCAAAATTAATTGTGTTGGGAAATGTAATCGTCACTCTAAAGTAAAATTTTTTAAAATGGCATTGCATGGGTCTTTCTTTTAACAGGAGCTCTGAGATTTTGCATTGATACAATGTAACATGTGACATCATATTGCTTAGTTGTCTGTATTTTATGTGTCTAATGCTACATTGCTCTGTCAACTTGTATTTCCTTATTACTCCTTAAGATGAAGATAATTGATCTGCCATTAGCAAGATGGATCAGGATAAGTTTCAGTACACAGCCTACTTATCACCTTTAAGATACAGGGTTCTGATTATTCTTTTTTAGTAAGTATTTACTTCAAAAGAAAGAGACTAATGACTCATCGGCCTTGTTAAATTCTATTATCTCATTGCATGTCATATTTGCAACATGTTGCACCTGAAATTTATATTGGAGGATAATAATTTATGAAATGCTTTGCTTCATAAGTAAGTGACACTTAACCAATTGATGCCAATAACATTGTGCTTATGATCGCTTATTCCCTTGCAGAGTTAGTTTTTTGAATAGTGTAGTTCACATTTGGCTGAAATAAAAAGCTTTTTTTTTTTTTCATTCTTAGCCCTGTTTCCACTTTTAGCTTATTTTTCTTAACTTTTCTTGATTGCACTAGTTTTAGAAGAGTTTTATAAGAGTTCTCTCTTCTTTCAAATATAAAGAGAGTCATAAGCACTGCAGACACAGTAATTGAAGTTTGTAGCTATTTATCGACTCATACAAAGGGATGTATTGGTGGAGAATAGCACAACAAGGGACAGTTTTCCCACTGTTGCTATTACCTACTCCCTTGAGAATCTCATCGTGCTTGCTTCCTGCTTCAGACCTTATCTGTATGAAATAACAGGAATCATTCCAAATGGACTCACCTTCATCCTTGCTAATGATTATGCAAAACCTGACCCCACTTAAGATGCTTTAGC